GAATATTATTCGAACAGCAAGACACCGCCAACATCTTTGCTAATTTAAATTTTAGAACCTCAGAACTTTTACCCCAAAAAATTGGTTATCAATTGTTTTTTACAATATACATTGAAATTAATGCGATTTTCATATAAAACTGTTCATATCGTGTGAAATATTCTGTGAAATCCCATTTGGATTGTTATAATGTATACACAAAGTGTTCATTTTAAATTGATACTGGCATTTGTTCAGCGATGCGTTTTCGTGAAATAAAAATTCAAACAAAAGTTTTAGAGCTCGATGGGGGAGTACGGAGGTGTATGAACCTGACCTGGGCAAAGCAGTCAAGGTCATTCAAGTTCAACTTTGTTTTTTAAATTGAAACCTCTATTTTTTTACTGCAGATTGCATGTCAATTTTTCGAGTTATTCAAACAATGAATATACAAATAATAATGAAACTTATTAAAATATTATAATAAAATGTAAGATAATAAACGGAAAATAAACGAATACAGTACATTTTTTGCCTTTACAACGCGATGGAAAATTACTTGTCTAAAGGTACCATTTGGGAACGCGCGACAAACGTCAGGAGACCGAGACACCAGGGGACCTATTTTCAAACCGTGTGAGTACTCATTTCTCTCAAGATTCTCATCAGAAATGTCATACGTCAATGTGGAAACGCTGTTTTTAAAGGCCTCGAGGATTAAAATTCTTAGGAGGATATTAATTATCTCTAAATAAACCGTGAGAAACAATCAGTGAGTTTACACTGGCCCTTAGGACCCTAAAAATACTGTTTTACGTTGACGTATGACATTTCTCTCGAGAGAAATGAATTCTCTCGACTTTGAAAATAGCACCCCTGTGAAGCGGCAAATATTGCTATATTAAATCTGATGTCGTCTGTCGCCTTTACCTAAATGTGAAGAGACCGTTTAGTGTCTCGCTTGCTGTCGTGGCGCGTTTTAAGTCGGTCTCTGCCTCGGCTTGCGAAATGGTAGCTTTACCGGTAAGATTGAAATTGTCAGTACTTTTTTCACGATTTTTGAATCATAACTCTACAGAAACCCAAAAAATTTACAGAAAAACATTTTTTTATATCACAGGGTCAACTTTGAAATTGTCAGTTTATATTTTTCCAGAGTTCATTGCAATTTAAAATATGCTATTTCATGGAAAACTATAACATTCCGTGATGACAGTTTTCAATTTTTCCTAATTCGTCACATTCACTTTCAATGAAAAAACAAAAAAAATAAACTCAAAAAGGTTCATTTAGGTTGTTTGGTTACTTTGACTGTTTCTGGTGAATTTATAACCACTTACAGTACTATATACAGTATCGGCTACCAATACGCTTTGTTAATGTCAAACTGAAAACTACAGAGAGTTAGCATTGGCTCGAGCAAGAAACAAATAATATCAATGTTGCCGTGTGCGTTGTGTAATGTGAACAGGTACTAGGCGAGATATATTCCCACGCGGCTGGGTGGCTAAGTTGATATTATTCATTTCTTGCTCACGCCAATGCTAATTCTCTGTAGTTTTCACTTGGACATTAGAAAAGCATTCAATAGTCGACACTGTATACGCGTAATCCTATTACTGCTTATTTTTATATGGATATTCAGTGAATTACTGGTAGCAGTAATAGTTCCAACAAGGTACAGCACTGCCAGGTCGCTTGTAAAAGGTATGTAGCAATACATGGGAAGGAGTAGGGCATCAAACTGTTGGTACAATAAGCTCGTGAGACAACAGTGCTGCCATGCCAACCGCAGAGGAGTGAAGACAGGCTGGAACCCAATCCCAAACAAGGTAGGTACAGCACTTCCGTATCAGTCTTGAAAATATCCCTATGGAGAGGAAGATTTTTACTGGTGAGCAATTGTTTTAAAATTCGGATTTTGTATTTAGGTTGATTCTTGCTAAAACTTTTAGATAATAGGTTGCTCTAGAAGAATAATTTGGTATTACGTATAACTCATTTATAACTCTTCGATAATTTATTTCACCCCTTTAACGACATTGATGTTTGTTGCAATGGAGTTTTTTTACAGTGACATGAAATATAAAAAAAAATATTGGCCACGGGCTATCCTACTATTGCATGTACGCATTGAGGAAACCAGTCCATCTAAATACATTAAGAAACTCTTTAATTTCTTATCTACTACTCAGTTCAATATTGATATACTTCTTATTTATATTGGAATATATAAACCCAGGGACTATAATTCTCAAAAAAGTATTGGAGACATAGTAGAGATGAAGCATAGGATAGCAGATAACTATCACAGCTTATTACAGCTTATCAGAGACCCATCAGGGATACCTACATCAAATGGTACAGAAAGGCATCTGAGGGATACCATCAAATCACTCTCTATACAAAGATGAAGGGACTATAAAGAACAACAAATTTATTGAAATATTATAGAACGATGTATCAAAGCAATAAAAGATGCCAGTTAATAATCCTTTTACACTTAAAGTTCCAGATATACCGTATGATGCAACTGTATGGAATAAATTCATTATTGAAAAATTCTAAAATACGTCTTTTTATAATAATGGACTTATTTTATAGATTAATTGATTGATTTTACGATAGAATTATTATCCAAAAAAACCTCTATGAATATTCTCCAAATACATTGAGCACCGTGGTAAATCATTACTAATTATTAATTAGATATATTAAAAAATAATAAAAGTAATTTTTTGACAAGACACTCTTATTAATTAATGTAACGGGAAATAGAATCCTTCATGCAATGTTTGTAATGTTTCCAGTGATATTTGCAATATATTGTTCTATTAAAAAAGTAATTACCTATGTAGCCTTAATAAAACTCAGTGTGAAACAAACTCGTTAGCTAGAGTACAGTTCGAAACTGGATTTATCTGTTAAAAAGTATGGAAAGTTACCCGACGTGACGTTGAAACAAACAGAAAATCGCAGCTCACACATTTCAATCATAGCAAGTCAAAACTGCAATGCTTTGATGAAATTAGTTAATATTATGAAAGACCCTGTTTGATTATTTATTGAAATGTGCGAATTTGTCTGTAATGAGTCAGAAAACAGAGCAGTCTGCTTTGCGGAATTGTAAACATGATGAATGACGGTGAATCATTTTTTAAACTGATATTTTAGTACCACGCTCATAAAAACAGTACCTACTACAGGCCATTATGCCCTATCACTTAATTATTTTTATTTCGTTTCTACTGTTTTTATTATCTTTCTCCAGCTGTTTCGATTTTGAGTTGCTGTTCTTCTAGCTTAGGTGTTTCTATCTTTTCATCATCTTCCAAGTCATCTCCTTCAATTAAAGGTCTCTTTATATATCTTTCTGCCGGCCCCGTTTTTACGTGCCACATCCATCTAGCTCTTTGGGATTTTATAGTCTTCACTGTCCCTCTTTCGTTTTATGTCTCCAAATAATTGTTCTTTTTGTGTATATATCTATATATAGTAACATTTGTATGTTGTGGAACTAGAGTACGTAAAGTTCCAGCAAGTAACAGGGTTTATAAAATTTATTTTTTAAATATGTTCACCTGGATATTGTAAATTCCTATCAACAATGCCAGATACTTTTCGTGGGGGGTAACTTCAGCCAGAAGCTTTCAAGGTCTCAAAATACTGGTGACATTTAGGTCATAGTATCAAACTTGAATTTTATAAATGCTATTCGAAAGCTTATTTAAGAATATTATTCGAACAGCAAGACACACCGAGAGGTATAACAACCCCAAGAGTAGATGTTTCAATAAGATCATCATCTCTTATTCAAATTAGTCAGATTTAATTTGCTCTTAAATTCAATGAACATTAGTAACAAACATATTTAACTAATAGCGACAGGATTAAGCATACCTTTACTAATAGAAACACAAAAGATAGTACCTACTCTCTTTTATTTACTTTTAATAAATATGCAAATAGTGTGGTTCTACTATTTTTGTTTAAAATAAGTAGGAAGTAAGAGCATACATACTGAGTTTTACTAAGTATTATTCCTTTATGCCAAACCTTATCAATGGCTTGAGAGACGTTGAGAAAAGCCGTTGTACAGTACATCTTGGTTTAGAGTCTATTTCTTATAATTCTGACCACTCTGTGGACCTGTTCCAATATGACTGGTTTCTGATATAAAATGATATCTATTCTTTTTAGGAGACGGTTTCAACTATCTTAAAAAACAATGGTAGGAGGCTTAATAGGTGATATGGCGATAGGATAAAGGTTATATAGGATTTTTGTTAGGTTTTGGGATCAAAATTATTTAAATTACCTTTCATTGGGAGGGTAAATAACCCAGTCTTAGAAATATCAAGTTTTTCTAGCACTCTGACGATCTCCCTATAAATAAATGCCACTTTTATTTTTTGGTGATATGTATCTTTCGTAACCTTTCACTCGGTACAAAAAAACAGCCAACTTGACGCTTCATCTGGTGTCTTCTCGATGAGAGAGAGTAGATGGTGACTTTAAGTTCTGTCTATGGTTGAAAATAATCAACCTCTTTTTTAAAGTAAATCTAAAAACTTTTCTTGTCTACTGTCTCTTTTTTAACAAATTCACCATCATTCATCATTTTGTGTTTTGAATGTGTATGTGGGTCGTATTAATGAAAATATATATATCTGAAACTTCTTAGTCTGTTTTCTAACTTACAACTATACAGAGGCCTCGGTTTTTTTCCTACACTCTATTCTGATGACTTCTTATTTTTAATATTTATAAAACTGCCTAGTGCCGAAGTCATGGCAAAGGCGGAGTAAAAAAATACTTTTCAAAATGGGAAGACATATTGATATGGAACTCAGACAGAGTTAAATACAAGGAAGACGAATTCTAGAAAAAACAGTAATAAAAATATTATTTACTAATTAAAAATTCAAATCTTAATTTGCAGGCCTATTTTCAAGAAATATTTTTATTGTATCCCATTTTGTTGTTTTTATAATATGTTCATTTTATTCATAAGAATTAACTTAACGTCTATAAACTCGTAACGTAACTAAAAGGGTTACGAAATAACAAATTTTATCCATTGATATAGTTACACATTTACTATTATTTCTCAGTAGTATCCACGATGGACGACTACTGGTCATTAAACTAGTAACTGTGGGAATGGAACTTTGTAAATCGGAAGATAAATGTGTCGATACTACTTGTTCCTCTTCGTTTTTATTGTCATTGTTTTCTTTTTTTCGTATTGGCTTCCACTTTTTCGTTTTGTCTTTGAAGTTAGGTTTACGCGGCTTCGTTTCTATATATTTAGGTGTACTCACCGTGCTCGTGGACTTCACCACCCTCTCTGAAACAAAAAAAAATATATATTACAAAAAGAACTTATACAACTACGATTATAAAGAGGTCTTATTATGTTTTAGGACGATAACACTATGCAGTTGCATTTTGGCAAGCCACAGTTTCGTATAGAGTAATAATAAAATAATACACACGCCAAAATGGGACTGAATAGTAGAGTAAATTAACAAATGAGTAATGACAAACAGAAACATAAAGGCTTAATTAAAAAAACAGTTTTTCGCTTACTTTCTAGGAATAGAGGAATGGATACCTAATAAAACCTATTGTATTGAATATAAATAATATAATGTATGCCTAAAACTAACGTAATAACTATGAGCTAATTTTTCTTTTTTGGTCATTAAAAGCATCCACAACTATAGTTTAAGTCGATCTCTATATATTTTTGTTTTAATAAGAGTGACAAATCTGAATATATCTCTTGTGTCATGGTCATTTTTAACCAATTTAGAATCCTTTTCATGGCAGAGAATCATCTCTCACACGTTGCAGTTGAATTGGGTAGAATAATGGCAACTTTAAAAATGTTCTACACATTGGGGTATGTTTCATGGAATAATACTTTCGTTTTTTTTTGCATTAAATTTAAGAAAATGAGTTTAAAATTAAAGCACAGTTTCCTTTTCTGCATAACTATCTGCGTCTATAAAATTAAATTTTATTGATAATAGCTATGAATTGTTGTAGAAGTAGATTTTTTCTTTCTTTTTGCTGGTTGAAATATATTAGTCTTTTTAAGAAGAGAAGTCAAATATTTTTCACCAAGTTGTATATATTGACTTTTTTGAAAAATAGTATGACTTTACCAAGTTTCAAGTAGTCAGGAAATTGACCTTGTATGAAAGATAGATTAACTAGAATGTTAATGGTTTAGAAATTTATTACTGTGGCCCCATAGGCCATAGATTAACTAGAATGTTAATGGTTTACAAATTTATTACGGAGGCCCTTCTTATGGAGCCTCAGTACTGCATACGTGCAGACGAAAAAATTTTCTTACCCCCACTTTTTAAAATGCAAAATTTTTCTCTGGTCGTCTGTGTGTATGTGTGCCGGCACGATAATTCTAGAGAGGAAGATTTGATTGACTGGCGGTTTTGATTTTTTTAAATAATTGCTTCTAACTTAGAACTATATTGATTTTTAGGATTTTCGGTTTAGCCTAACTACTTTAATATCAATGTTCTTCAAATCCCATGTATTTCTTATGGATTCTAAACATTGTTTTACTGATTGCAATTTTTAGACACTTCATAAGTTGCATCAATAATGGGAATAATGGGTGCTTGTTGGTCTAATCAGATGTATTGCATAAAATTAGTGATTTACAAGACCTTGGATCAACTTTTTTAGTAAGCATCAGACGAAAAAAGTCTATTGAATAAGGTTTTTCTTTATATATTGCAATTAGGTATTTATTTTTTAAGGTCTTTAATAATGGGAATAATGGACGCTTGTCGGACAAATGAGATATATTGCATGCAAATTATATAATTTACAAGACCTTGGATTAGCTTGTTTTAGTAAATTTGCCCAAAACTAAGACAAAAACACCTCTAAAATTTATAATTACCGATAATTTTTATGTAAAAAATCCTTCAATAATCGTCCAACACTACTCTTTTTAATTTATTAGAATGGTAAATGCACTACCCAAAGAATTGTTATTAATAAATTTACCGAAATGAGGAAAGATATTGCCGCCTTTATGAAAACATTTAAATTTTTATACGTAGGTAGAGCTCGATTTTTTTTGTGAAGAGTACATTTCGTCATAATGTGCAGAAACCAATTTGAGTTTGTAGGCGTGGTCAGACAGATTTAAACGTGATCGAAGCCGCCTGCCGCTCATCACCGCGCATACAAGTTGAATTCAGTAGCGTAGTGTTACTTATTTGTACTAGTTGCATTTATTTAGCTATTTTTAGTGTGGAATAGTTATGACGAAATGTGCAATGTACAATGAGCAATGGGTGCAATGATTTTTACATGGACAGGTCTAAGGGACAAATAAAACAAATATTTTACATGAGCAAGCCAAAGGGGTATAATTCTGGACGTCTCTACGAGGCTCGCATTCATTTGCGAACCATTTTGTAGCAGAGAGACACTGGGCTTCGAATCTTACATGGTTCTCTATTGGATTTCATGGATGCCATATTAACAGAAATTTAAGTTGATATGACATCCAGATTATAAAATCCGCGGTGGAATTTTCCAGGTTTTGCTCACCTTTAAGTCATCAATCATCTTTAAGTCGCCTCGGAGCGCCACGGCAAATAATAATAATAATATGCCGTCCCTTCCCCTACACAAGTCGCTCAGTGGCTTCAGGGGTTGAAATTCATTGGTAAGGGGGTAAATTAGGGAAAGTATTATTATTATATATTTTACATGGACAGATTTAATAGGGACCAAATATTTTTAGATAAATAGGCTTAAGAAGTAAGGAGCCCAAATATTTTACATAGGTAGGCTTAAGATATAAAGGGATCAATTATTATTAGATAAATTGTTCGAACAAGTTGTAAATCCTAATCAAAAGGCAATATGGAATAGTTTTAAAAAGCAAGGCTTGTGACAATCATCACATGGTTTAACCTAAGTAATCGCAATGCTTCACAAAACTGAAAATTCAACGTCTTTATACTACTATCGGCTTTCGTTCCAAATCAAATCATTTCTCGTTTTTTACGCTACAAGTTTACCCTTGTTGGCCTTAGTCTCTATAAGGTGGAAACCACCGATTTAGCGTCTCTTGAATTTATGAAAGTTGGGAATGTGGTGGTTAGCCTAAGCATCAGGAATATTCCTGAATTTACTAGCGCCTTCTCGTTGACCGCTATCGTACTAATCGTACGAGAAATATTTGACATGCTGCGATTCTACCTTCACAAATTTAGTGGGCCGGTTTCATATGCAACGGAAAAATTAAATGGCAAGCCGGATAAATCTTTCTCGAGGGCCTCATGTAGCCCGCCGACCGTGGGTTGTCCATGCCTGATTTACAGTATATCCGTTCTTTGTTGAAATTTCAAAATGCCGACGAACTTTTTCTCTAACCTTGTATTCATTACTTATTTTGGTGAATAAATAATGAAGGAAAATAATAACCTCACCCCAAAAATATCATAGCAATATTTCAAAGATTATCTAAATAACCAGTACAGAATTTTGAATATTTAATCTGGCGTAGGCAAGTTTCATGATACGATGTGGGTAAACACGGAAAATTGTTGTTACATTCAAGTTTTACGAATTATTATGCACAATAATGTAGTCAAATATTTATAATATGTCAGATAAATTCCTTGACATTCCTAGTTTCCTGTTATATTACAGCCTTTGAAGTTGGTTTTGCTTTGATAAACTCGGAAGTTGAGTTATTTCTTGCTAGACATCAAATTTTATTAGGGTAATAATTGGTAATTCCTGTGGCAGTTGGTTAGCCACTAAAAGGACACTTGGAAAGTTTTTGCTCTTATCCACTCGGTTCCAGATGTTTGAAGTAGCGAATGTGGTTTTTATAGGACTTTACTTTATATGTTCACAATTACTACACAGCATTTATTATTATCATCATAATGAATGTTGATGCGGATAAATTGTATTTATCCTTTCTAATGCAGTGATTTCAACTCACATAGATTTAAACTAAATGTGAAATTATATTTAAAAAAATATACATACGAAACATAAGATAATTAAATAGTTTTACCTTCTTTAAATTATTCCGGTGGTATCGCTAAACACCCTGTAAACATGCTTCACATTTTGTAATATAACTAATATGGTGAGAAAAAGAAACAAATCGATGTTTAAAAAAAGTTGTCAGTACCTATTCTTTAAAAAATGGTACTCAAAACCGAGCCTAAAAAAACACTATAAAATTTTTTATAAAGAAAAAATAAGAACTATATATTGTATTTCAAAGTGTGCAATTTTTATTAGTTCACTTCTAAAGCTCAGCGCTTTGTAGTTTACGGCATCATCAGAACTTATTGGTCATAAATTGCGAATGGTATCTAAAGAGTATAATACAAACATTGAACATTTATGATAAACTACGGTTACATTTTTATATCAAACTCAAAAAAATATTATTGAGTTGCTATTAAAGAGACTTAAAATGATCATAGAAAAAAAATTAAGTCTTTGATCTGAATTGTTCCTCGACATCGCATAGGCGTTTATTAAAGTTTGACATAAAGGATTATAAACCTGTGATAAATGCCAATAAACATGTGTAATCGCTCGTAGAATGATTCCTTACCCAATTTTTTTTTTCGGTTTTTTAAAATATTTTCGGATCGGCTTTAATGATTTGAATGAAATTTTGATTTTAAAATCTAAATAAATTATAACAAGTCAATAAAGATACCTACTAGATTTTTTATGGATTTATTTCAAGCTTGATATTTTTTAACAGAGTTTGATAAAATTGCATATCCTAAACTAAGTCGATCTCCAAAATACACACAACCAAACTTATATGGAATCGTCTATTATTTTTGAGATGTATGAACAATTTTTGTTTATAATTAACACTCAGTCCTTACCAAAGACTTTTAATGACAAATAACACATGGCAATAAAAATATTTAATTAGTTGACAAAATAAACACAATGGTATTTTTTTGGTTCTTAAACGAAATAAGATTAAAATTTTTAATATCCGAAAAGCAAAAACAAAAAGAAAAATGGTAATTTTAACAATCTAGCCCTTATGCAAGCTTCTATTCGCCTTGGCATGCTTCTTATTAAATTGTCAACATTGTCTTGGGGTATGTTTTTCCATTCTGCTAATGCTTCATCAATAAGCTGTGCAACATATCTTGCATTGTTTCGACGAGCTCTAACCCTTTTTTTGAGCTGGTCCCACAAGTATTCGATACGATTTAGGTCTGATAAACATGCAGGCCAGTCTGAAACTGTGATACGTTTCGTATCAAGACATTATGTAGCCACCCTGCTGATATAGGG